CAGCCGCCGCTGCTTTCCCTCCCCGGCTCCGCCTGCTGCCGCCGCAACCCCCACAGCCAGTCAGCCACTCTCGCGAGATCTGCGGGAGAGACGAGACAGACGAGACCCGGTAACAGGGCACTGACTCCCCAGTACAGTAGCAGGGCGCCCTACTGTACGCGCCCACCCGCCCGCCGGCACGTGACCCACGCCCCCTCCTCGCTGCCAGCCCCCCGTCCGCCCGCCCGCCAGGCGGCGCCCACCCGCCGGCCCTCACCCCACACCCCTGGCTGGAGGGGGGAGCAGGATGCGCCGCGTCGCAGCTGCTGCCGCTGCCGCCACCACTGTGGCTGTCGCTGTTGGCCAGACCCTGGGCGGCCTCGGCCCGAGGAGTTGGGGGACTAGGGGTGAGAAGGGGACTGCCATAGTAAGCACAGGGAGCGGGCCTGAGCTCTGCTTTCCAGTGACCCCAAAGAGAGGATTTGGGGGAGGGGTCTGCGCAGCACAGCTGAGCCCGCTGCAGAGAGGGGACACCGAGTCACGGCCATCCTCTCCCGTGCGGGCACCAGGCAGACCCAGACCCAAACCCAGACAGGCCCACCCGCCGCCAAGCTGGGCTGTCTCCTACCGCAGAGCCCTGGCCGCAGAGGCGGGCGAGAAAGAGGAGAGGTGGTGCGGCGGTAACCCTTAGCTGCAGAAGGGGCTACCCGGGGATGAGGACCGGGCGCCGGCAGCAGTGGCGCGGAGCAGCAGACACCTAGCCTGTCCCTCCCCTCTCGCTCCCCTTGCTCTCGCCGCTCCCCCTCCCCGCGGCTCTGGCCTCAGATGATCCCGCTCCCCCCTCCCCCCAACCGCAGCCCCGCACAGTCGGGCGGGCGGGCGGGCGCACTCACCGGCGGGGGGGGAGCCAAGCAGAGGACGGTAGCCGCACCAGGGCCGGGGTGCCCGCAGTGCCAGTTCCCGTTGGCTCTGCCCTTCCCCCCAAGCAACAATCAAAAAGAAACCCTACGCTCACCCAAAAACCTTCAACCAGCCCCCTTTGGGACCACGACTGCCTGCCTGCCTCCCCCTCCTCCTTCCGAGATTTGGGGAAAGGGGGAACCCTGCTCAGGGCTGAGCCCAGCCTGAGTTGCCGGCCAGCTCTGCGGATGAACCAGGCCCTGCTGAGCCTTCAGCCCCTAGCCCACTCTTCCTCTCTGGAAGGACCCAGAATGGAGAAGAAAACCAAGTAGGCTTTAGGAAATTCACGAGCTAAAAATGTCAGGAATTTCCTGGGAAACGCAGTTCCTTACGGGATACGGGATTCAGGATTCATTAACGCAGGTTCGCTTGCCCCTCTGAGTCCTCCTCCCTGAAACTCCTAAGTGTCAAGGAGAGCCCCCACCTCTCAAAAAGTAAAACATTAAATGATCGCTAGTTTTTAGGCAGACGGCTAGGTTACCGACCATTAATCAACCAATGAGTCTTTGGATAGTGACAGCTAACGGGGGTGCTTCTGGTCTCAGAAATAATTGATTTCTCCCTTCCTAGATCTGAGACATAATCTAGGGCCTATTATCCTTCTCCCAGATAAAGAGCGAATTCTCCAACTCCCTCACTGCAGTCTGCAGTCCTAGCAGCTGTGGGAAACTAAGGCCTATCTCCAGGGGACCCCCTGCCAATGCCCCTACACTCTTCCCATCACCTTCTGCAGGGGGCTCAGAGGATACAGACTTTATAGCCCTACTCCTGGCTTTCTCAAGCATGGATTGCTGCCTCCATTCTGAGAAGAGTGTGCCTATCCCATCTGTAGGTTCCATTCCCATTGAACATCCCCTACCCCCCAAAGTAAAGAGACATGCCTCCCTCACTCTTAGCCCTAGAGACAGCTGAACACATGGTTGCCCAAGCTTCCTGAAAAAGAGAGGACTAATGATCAAGACACCTAGCCCAGTCCAGGGCATAAGCCTTGTCAATACCTGAGCCCTCAAAGCCCCCTAATGTATCCCTTCACCTCCTGGGCAAACCTGCCTGCTAAGTAGTCACAGCTTCCTTTTTCTCTTAGCAAGGGCCCCATTCTAACCAGCTTAGCTACTTCAGCTCTGGGCTGCCGTTTGCTCTTCCCGCTAAAGAGGAAGAAACAGAGCAGAGCACCCTGGCTACCAAGAGCAAACTGGGGTAGTCCTATGAACCAGCTCCAGAACAATCCATTGACCAACCGTCAGTGGTCCCTGAAATGGCTCCCTGAAGGGAAGGCCCACTCTGAGAGAAATTCAGGCTTTGGGTCCCATAAAGAACTTCCCCTTAGTTTGGGAACATCCTCTAGTACCGCGTAGTACCCTTTCAGTGATGATTTTTTTGCGCTCCCTCCCCTGTCCCCAAGTCTGTCGGGAAGGGGACATAGCAACTGTTGGCGCACTTGCCATGGCTCAAAAATACATGTTTGAAGAAGCGGCGGCTCCTCCGGGCTAGCGCAGTAGCGATCAGGACCCTGGATAGACCCCAGCCCCAAACAGGGACGCAAAGGCTGAGTGGCAGGGTCTCCGCACAGAAGGGGGCGGGGCATTACAGTCGCACTTCTAAGCTGAGGCTAAGATCTGGTGAAGTCTGATCTAGAAGAGCTACTGCTCTTCTTCAAGATTTTACCTTGCACTGAACCAAGCCCTTGTCCCCTCAGGACAGTTCAAAGCAGCAACAAGGCCAATGGGACTGCGATGAGGGGGCACGCGCCTGCCGGTCCCTGCCATTCTTCCCTGCTAATGATCGCTTCCTCCAGGACAGAAAACTAGGGCTCTAAACTGCTCGCCTTCTTGGACCAACTTTGAAGTCTAAGTTTCTTGCCCTCAGTCCCAAACGTTTATGTCCAGGGATTCTGAAGCACTTTGAGTTTGGGAATGCCCTGATTTTCTGAAAAAGTGACTGTCACCATGAACTGAGTTCTTAGTTCCCCAGCGCAGAGGCAACTGATGAAGTTTCTAGACGAAACACAAATTAAATGCACGCTTAAACTGAGAATTTTAAGCTCAAATCAGCAAATGACTGAGACCTGGATCTCACCACATAAATATGTATTTACTTATTTATGCTATTTATTATACATGTATAAAATTTCTGCCATTATATACCAGCTTCTCGCCTACTTTATAAATGTATCTATAAAGCAAATAAGGCTAATAATGCCTTTTCCAAAATAATTCAGTGATAAATTGGATATCTGGCACATACATTTTCACTACTCAAACAAGAGAGTTAATTTCAGCATAAGCCTGTAAGTGTGGGCTTTTGGTCAGACTAGGGGGGTGGGTGGTGAAAGGCGGCTTTCCTTAGGTTATAGAATACAGTAGCCTTAAAAGGCAGTCTGGGAAGAATGAATATTCACTCAGAGAAAAAGTCTTAAAACAGACTTAAAACAAAAAGTTTAGAACCTTAAATAGAATTTCAAAGTTAGATTTGCATCCTAACCTTAAAAATCCATTAGACAATTTGTGGATTTAAAATGACTTATAGCCATTTGTTAATTACCTAAACAATACACTAACTTGGTAAATGAAAAGCCAGTTCGTGTCTATCTGTGTGAATTTGTTATTTTGAAACAAATATTTGTAAAATTAAATTTATAACCAGTACAATGTGGGAAAAAGACAAAGGGAAAACGAAATATATTAATATGCAGGAAAATATCCGTGTTAATGAAAAAAATCATCAAAAAATATTCCCTTTCTCCTCAAAGTTTGCTTACATTTTTAAAATCTGATGTCTGTAGATTTCTTGTGCTCTCTTATTAACACTACACACACATTTTGAAAAGAACAGAGATTGCTTTATTTTTGATCCCACTATCTCTGTCTTTAACAAACTCTTACCAACAAAAAATTGTTCACAAATGAAACAGACATTAGGCAGAACAAGAAAGAAAAAAGCCTCAATTTTCCTTAGCCTGAACTACAGGCGATTCTGAAATAGTCTACTTCAGCTTTGGTTGTTAAAAGTAAAAATTAATACACACATTTATAAAATAAACTTGGAGAGAGGGAATCTACCTCTGGGTAATAAACCATAAATCCTTGTGATTATGGAGTTCCCAATAGAAACAATATGCTGATTAATATTTCACAAAATCACAGATTTCCAAAATAAAAGAGAACATTAGAACTTGTGTTTTCAAGTGCTACTTAGGTTAAATGCCTGTCTTAAACCAGACAATTATCTTCAATACCCAAATCATTAAAACTAACTGGAATGCTGTACTGCAAGTGTTCAAAGTGGAGGAATTACCTTAAGGGAAACTGTTAAGTAAATCTTAACATTTAACAACAACAACAAAGACAAATAGTAATAGTATTTCACCAATCATTTTTAAAAAGCGTATCCCCTTTCTATATCTCACCTAATATTTAAAATTATGCCTCTTCAATGCTATTTTAATGTTTAGGGTTAAAGATATGAATTAAACATTTAAAATCTGAAGAGAACAATCCATATGATACAATCCTCGCATTTCACAAAATGTTTTCATTTTAAGCATTTGCAGAAGAGTTAAATAAACGTAGCACACATTCTAAATTCGATAAAAGATTCAGAGAACCCGACATTTTATGTACCCAAAAGGTCCAAACAGAACCGATGCAAATGTCAATAGCTCTCTCTCTTCCGGCTGATACTTAAAAATGGTTTTACTAGTACCCAAAAGAATGAAATCAGCAACTCTCTCCACACTCTAGTCAACACTCCAATTTCCAAAGCCTCAATTCACAAACGCCAGTTTGGAAGGCGAGCAGTAGG